TTGTTTCGGTTTTTCACCGGGGATTTTTTGCCCCCTTTTCCTTTTTAACCCTTTTTTTTCGGCGTTTTTTTTTTTATTGTCACAAACTAAAGAAATATTTGTCCTGTTAACACTCAGGCCACTGACCTCATAACTGTAATTTATTAATGTGCTACAATAATTTAGAAACCAAAGCTCATTTGCTTGCAATTAGTCTAACCTGATCATCACATAAAACATAAACGAAATGCTTAAAACATAAATCCCCACACGTCTCTGACAACCTTAAAAGACCCGACAACTGAATAAACAACAAAATCATGTGACCGTCCGTAGAGATGAGTTCCAGCATGAACTTCCTGTTAATTAACATATACAACAATGCCTGTATGCACCATTTAAATGGTAAATGGACTAATTCTTATATATCATGTTATATAGCACTTTTATACTCTGAGCACTCAAGGCTCTTTACACAATTTGCCTCATTGTGCCTCATCACGATTCACCTTTTCTATGTTATGTCTAAAGAAGCGCTTTCTAACATTCACACACATTCATACTTCAGTGGATACACTAGCACGAGCAGAATGGAGCAACCAGGGATCAAACTACCAGCCTTTAGATGACCTGCTCCACCTCCTGAGGTAAACCTACGCCACTTATACAAGCTAAAGTCATGCAAACCAACTCCTTAAACCCAAACTGCACTCATGTTTCACTGCAAACTCAAGTTGAATGTTTTTAGCTGGGTGTGGTCAGTATTGTGCTGCTACTTCTTGTTACACTTCTGGAGATCAGACCATGCACAGTATGTTAACTTTCTATGTTTTGTTACATTGACTAACTCATAAGACCCTCTAAAGCCAATATTATTAGTAAGTCATTCGGTTCTTGTTGCACTCCAATGATCTATTCTTTATCTTCTCTAAGTATTACACTTCATTTTCTTCACCTTGTTGCTCTAAAACAAATATTCCATATGCATCTCAGTCCTGCTTTGTCCTGCCTAAACAGAAGCATCTATCTCTGTGTGGACAAGGCTTAAAGACTCTTGAGCATATTATATCACTATCATACCCTACCTATCAAACCATCAGGCTCCAGGCAGTGTTAAAATAGAACAGAAGTTGCACCGCGCTGTGCAATCTGCTGCTGACAGCTGCAAGTTGCTTTAATAATCTAGGATGAGTGAGACTGCAGGAATGACACAGGAATCAAAGCTCTAATCCTCCACGAGAACCATATTAGCAAAAGTTGTGACCTGTAGTTCTGAGTTCATATTCAGCTGGTTGAATAGTAGTAGAAGCTATTGTAGTCTTCACAAAATGACAGATTCAAATGTCCATTCACTTTTTAATAAAATTATATGAAATGCTTCAGAAACCATTTAATGTGATCTCATCTGATATTATACATATATACAAGAATTATACAGTCCTACAAATTACATCCATATCTCCATATTTATTTCATGTTTCTATGAGTTGATTATTAGATATTATAATGTTTTATGTCCAGTTCAGCGTTAGGTGTATGAGGCGTAGGCAGAGGAGAGGTGGTTCAGTTCCTCTATTGATATAGCTTTGTGTGTTTCTGCCAGATGTCCACACAGTAATTCAGTTAGTGCGCAGAAATGAAGTTAGGCTTTAGCTGCCCGACGGTCCACCCCCATAAACACAGAGACACATATAAAAGGTGGAAGGGGAAGAAGCTGAGTCATAGTTCTTTCACTTCTCATTTTCTGATCAACCTCAAATTACACTCTGAACACAAAATTTAAAAATCACATGTATAGTTTTTTTTTACTATACATATTCAAATCACACAGCGAACAGTAAGCTCGAGAAAGATATGATTACAGTCAGAAAATGGCTGCCTTCATGACTCAGCAGTAGGAAGTGGGGTGGTGTGTCTCGCAGACAATGCCCGGACTGTCCAATTTGACTTTTGACTGATCTGTCTGAGGGCGTGTGTGGTTATTATTAGCAGCCTCTTGAGCCAGGAGAATATGAGTCTATCTGAGACATGCGCCTGATCATTGCTGTGGACAAGCTGAACGTGCCAGATGACAGCCTGCGGTCAGTCAAGCAGTCCTGAGTTGGGTTGGTTGAGCAATTGTGTGGGTATCCCCTTTTTGTCTCACATACCCAACCAACTATTTAAATGTCTTTTTGTCCTGAAGCCCATTCGTAAGAAAAAAGGAATGCTACGACTAATTACGGACATCACTACTCTACCCTTGACAGAAAAAGCAGGCTGTGATCTTCTTCTTTATCACTTTAGTGCTTGATAGTGTACCCCGAGATATTACCAGGATTGTTGGGCTGTACTGTACGTTCATATAAAGAAAATTTAAAAAAAAAAAAAAAAATTAAAAAGAGAGAGAGAAATATCCATCTTGGGGTTTATAAAATACACATTTACTTGGTTTGTACAAGCCTGGTACTATATATCAGCAATATTAAATACTGGCATATTTTCTTTAACACTTTGCTTGGTACAAATTTTTGATGATTTCATGTTAATGTGAACTAAAATCACCTTGTTGAATCTATGCCTCAAATAATTAAAGGAATTCTCAAAGCAAAAGAGAATCCATTCCATTATTAGCAATGTGTACCTCATAAAGTGTCCAGGGAATGTAGCGATCTGTTGTGCAGACTGCATTTCTTCAAAGTGTACAACCCTCAGGCTTTTCGAGTGAGGAACTACAGGTTTTGGCACTTCTGCGATTGTGTCATTTATCCCTCAGAAAAAAGATCATGTTGGCATGTTTTCACATTGAAATCATTTGAATTCGTGGGCACATTGTGATCTACAGTTACATAGCTACATGCAAATGCTTCTGAAAGTAGCTGTGTACGATGCTGCTATTCATGTAGCTCCACATATTTGACCTGGCAGATTTTTATCTCAGATGCCTTTCCTGACACAATCCCCAAGGGAACTGGATCTCCTCTTGAGACTGAAGCAGGTGTGTTTTTGTTAAGCGAATGTGTAAATCCATACATTATGGCGCCACCAAGTAGCATTATTGCTTTCCAGATACAGATGTTAACACAAATTGTTAACTGTGGGGTATATAAGTGCAAAGCAACAGCTGTCTATGGATAATATAGACATGTGTAGAAACATTTATTTAGCTGTATTGTTAATTTCTGGCATTTGTTTCAAATATAATTTTATACGCTCATCACACCTTCAAGATGTACTTCCAATCGCACTTTTGCAAATCACTCTGCTGCACTCTCACTTTGTAGATTGCGAAATAAAAATAGACTTTAACACATTGGCAGGTAGAATGAGCTTGGGAAGGTGTGCGTCTAATTATTTCTCTTGTGTTTCTCAAGCTCATTAAAGTTGTCATACATTGTTTTTCCTGTAATCGCCAAATAATTATCCTTTGATACCACATACTGTAAAGCTTTGTTTACCCATCATCACAAAGCAATTATCTTTGATTTTGAGACATATGTTGAGACGAAGAAATAATTGCTTGTTATATTAAGATAATTGGACAAATTGTTTTCTTGCGATTTAACTCCAGGAAATCAGCACGTTGTTTTAGAAAGTCAAGTAAGTTCAAATGTACTAATATATTTTTAAAACCCTCTTTAGAAGTATCTTGATGCATTCTCAATCATTCAGGAAAATAAATCTCCAAAAGTTGATTCTGTTCATCTCGATGTACAGAAGTGACTTCTTCAGTCTCTGAAGAAGTCACTTGGATGAGTGATGAAACGTTTCTCCCAGAAAACGCTACATCGAGATGAACAGAATCAACTTTTGGAGACTCTTTAGAAGTAGTTTGCATCCACTAGGCAGGCTGCTTCTTATATTTAATGGTTAAAAAAGAAGCCTCTTCAGCTGAGTGTTTAGTGTATTGTGCCACTTTTCTTGGAAACAGATGACTTCACTTTAAACACTAGACTGGAATCAACAGGGAGCAGGAAACCACCCTGCCAAATTGTTCTTAAGCACCATCCATCCATCTTCTTCCGCTTATCTAATTCAGGATAAGCTAGAGCTAGGGCCTGTCCCAGCTGTCATAGGGCAAGAGGTGGGGTACAGCTCGGACAGATCACCAGTCTATCACAGGGTTAACACAGAGAGACAGTCAACCATTGAGGCTCTCATTCACACCTACAGCCTATTTAAAATCACTAATTAACTTAACATGGATGTCTTTGGACTCTGGGAGGAAGACAGAGTAACCCGAGAGAAGCCATGCAGATCCGGGGAGAACATGCACAGGAAGGCCCCAGCTGGCTGGTGTATTTGAACCCAGCAGATTCTTGCAGTGAGGCAACCACTATGTAAGTTCAGTTTTCTATTCATGTATATATGCGATTAGTCTCAGATGGCTCAATATGAATAAAAGAAACTTTCTGAAACATTTAGCTTTATCTGTCCTTTATCATTGGGTTCAAATGTGGAAAAACCCCACAAAAGCTGTGAATATTTTTCCTTTGCGGAGTAGTCACACATCACATTTTATTGCTCTGCACTTTGTGACAGTTACAGTACTGTGCAAAACTCTCAGGCCACCCCTCATTTCTCTATATTTAGCTTCCCAGGACTCAAACTTTCTTGTATTTTTTCTAACTTTTGTACAGTACTGTAAGTCCATAACTATTTTGAGAATGACACGCACTCTGTATACTGTCACAGTGTTTTTAAAATGAGCACTTAAGATGTGTCTGAAACGCAGACTTGTAGCTTTAATTTAACAGGTTTTAACAAAACTGTTGCATTAACTGTTTAGGTATTACAGCCATTGTTATGCAGACATCTACACTTAATCAGTCACTGATAACAAAGAAGTTTCATCCAAGTTTTAAATTCACTCCATATATTTAAAATCGTATTGGTCTGTCCTATTACTTTTAAGCCTCTGAAAACTGGAGACAAACACTAATACCAAACACTCTGGTGCCCTCTAGTGGTGGCAACACCATGATGCGTACAGATCAAATCAGACTAAAAAAAGAGTCCAAATAAGTTACACAAACTCAAACTTTTTTCTGTAGGTCAACTTGTCTATTTAATATATAAAATACGGTAAAACATACGCAAAAAGGGGAGGGTAAGAGGGGACCAATGGATACTTTGGTACAATAACAAACACTTTTTTTTGTAAAAGCAGTATAGAATTTGTAATAACATATCAGTGCATACTTTATTTATGAAAATATACACAAATTGTATATCATTCTCCAAAAACAAAAACAAAATTATCTTTACAACAAAAAAGCAGACTAGCCGAACACAATATATTAGCTATAATTTATTTAAACTTTTTTTTTCTTTGATTTCACTTTTTTTTTTTTATGTAATCCTGTGTGATGTGTTTTTGTGTCAATATTACATTTTATTTCCTATAACATGATTCACACTTCTGTTGTTTTGAAACGCCCATGCATTGACATAATTGTGTCTGGTCAGAAATAAGTTAGACGTGTCACGCTGCCCCTTTAGACTCAGAGGTTTGTACATTGGACTCGAAGTTTTGCAGCATTGAAGCGATTTGTCGACTCAATCGGCGATTCCATCCACAGCCACACGTGGAAACTAATATCACTACTCGTGTGTTGCTTGTTACATGTCATACAAATCGTGCAACATTAGTAACACCCTTGTTGAAGAAGAAAGAAAAATCCCAAAAAATGAAAACAAAAATATATTTATAGAATATTCTTATATAATAAAATAAAATTCCAAAGAAAACAAGAGGTCTAACCTACACAAAAAAAAAAACAAAAAACAAAAACAACAACAAAATAAAAGAAAATGCAGAAACCTATATCATCATGACAGCTACTATCAGTGTGGCTGTGGTAATGATGATAAGAATAATAATAACAATAATATCAATTGTCAGAGAACAATTAAAAACAGACTGTCACCAGCACAAATTAACACTGGAAAGTGAGTGAGACTTCTAAACATCATTGTACAGGAGCATATATCTCTCTTTCAGGGGGGGATGCAAGTTCTTAGAACGGCTTCTCAGCACGATTGTCTGTTGTGTGATTACAGCGACCCCTAGTGTTGTTCTAAAGAACATGTTAGGGCTTCACGAGGGCTCTCGCCTGCCTGCTCACAAACAATCTCATTTCTTGGACGAAACATAAAAACCTGCAGACTTTTTTTGTTTCTTTTTTCTTTTTTTGTTCGAAGCTCAGGGCACAACAGTCTTAACAGTCAAAGTGTTTACACTCTGGGGATTTATGTTAACTCTGCCAAGCACTCAGAAAAGCAATATTGACACTCAGACTTGTCACAGAGGATGAATTTGTGTGTGTGTGTGTGTGTGGGGGGGGGGTGTGAGTGAGTGACAGACGGAGAAAAAGGAAATGAGAAATCACTGATGAACTGAAGGGCGGATGATGGCAGTAGTGTGTGAGATGAAGCTGCAAGTCGAATAGAGTCGGGAGGGGGGTTGGTGGTGGTCGTGTTTCTCATGGAAATGACCCCAAAATAATTTGACTCGTCATTTCAGCGCTGACACCCGCTATCTGGACGGAGTAAACAGAAGAGGAGTGTGTAATGAAATGTGTGCGTGTGTTTGTTTGTCTGGGTGTGAGATTAAGCTTCCAGAGAGGAGGGGGAAAAAAAAACCCGAGTGAGTGACAGGGGTGAGAGAGAGGTGACGAGGGCCTGCCCATGAGAAGGATGTGGTGGCTGGATGCGGTAAAACCTAAAGTCGACAAGTCTGCGTTGGATTTGGGAGGTAGTCATTAAAAGATCAAGAGTCATTCTGAAACCTCCGGCTTAGCGACGAACGACACCCAAACGCCAGTGCTTTTAACAAGCAAATGGACGGAGGCTGAGAGTGCTTTTAGGAAAAATAAATACATGAATTTTCACTTTTGACCACCACGTTTAAAAAGAAAAAGAAAAACCCTAAATCAACCGTTGCCACCTTTATAGAGTAGAAAAATTACATCCTTCACTTCTCTTTTCCTTCATAGTCTTCTTAAACTCTCCATAATATAAAACTGCAGCCAACCAGTGACAGGCGAAGGAGAGATCCTTTAAATATAGAAACATGGCTTTTAATTGGAGGAAAAGGTAAACCTCTAAAAGGAGACAAAAAAAAGAGGGATCAGGGAAATCCTTGGCTTGCTTAATCATAAACTATCTATATGTATTTATTCTAGAGTTTGACTGATATGGTGGTAGTGGATAATAATCTTTTGCATCAAGTTGCACAAAATACCCAATATTTGGCAGTCGCTGCACGAGGAAAAATTCCAGTAAAAGTTTAATTTAGCTAAATGATACAATAGGAATGGCATTTTTTTTTAACTAATCTTTAGTTTTTAGCAGGTTTCAAATAAATGCTTCCATAAAAAAATCGTTTGAAAGATGAAACTACATCAGCAATGACTTTGAAAGATTTACAATTTGTAACTGAATTTGATGTAGACAGTGCTACACAGCTACAAGTAAAATTTCTCTTCCAATTTTTATACAACATAACTCTTTTGTTTAAAAAAAAAAAAAATTGTAAACAACTCCTTAAATTGGACTTATCATCCTTTTCCTTGCTTTCTATCCAATGTATGCAGCTCATACTAAACATATCCAATCCTTTCAGCCCTAAATGTTCGATTTTTGTTTTCTACTCTTGGTTCTTTACAAAGCCAGTTGCAGCAGTCATTTGAGACACACAGCACTGGCCATGGCCACCTACCTGCTATTCCAAGCCTTTTTCTTGTGAGGGGCAGGACAATAGAAAAGAAAAAGTAGTAAGCTTAAAGGGAGAGGGAAGGCTGCTTTCACAGAGTTGATAAACTGAGGGCCCCTCAAAAAAGATATACAAGGATTTATTTGAACTGTGAGTCATGCAAAGCTACCCTGATAAACTTTAAGTTTGAAAATCTGGAGCTGGAAATGGGAATAACAAGTCTCCTTTAAAAGACTGCTTCAATCTATTAATTTAATATATTGAATCTTGCAATTATTGAATTATTAATTTAATTAATTAAATTACTCCAATCAGGCAACCACACTGAGACCCTTGCTGTAGCTTGTAAATTACTTAAATTAAACTACATCAAAAGAGAATTTTGAGAAATAAATAAAAATTGCAATATGTTACATGTACCTGCCATTTTTAGGTTGTTATCCAGCCAAATACATCAGTCTAACTCTGGTGTGTGCGCGCTGTGCGTGCGTGTCAGAGGTGGGAGTTAAGGTAAAGTGCCCTCCATCATCGACAGAGTCCTAATCATTGCTCACTCTAAACAGTCCGAGTCACCACGGCTACGTCTTCCCTTCCTGCCTCTACAACACCCTCTCTGGGCTCGTCCACATATTACACTTTATATACACACATAAATAATAATAATATAAAAGAGACAGATCCACTGAGAATCAATGTTTGTTTGTTTTTGTTTTTTTCCACTTCCTTAAGGGATATCCTGCCGAATATATAGTTTATATATACAATCCCTGTCGTCTGGTGTAGTCTCTTGCCCCAAATGCAGAGCTGCCCTTGCTACCGCCTGAAGCTGTTTAAATATATACTTGAATATGATTTATTTTTTTAACCTTCAAAAGAAAAAAAAAAAAACCTTATCCCTGTCACACAAAAGCCACAAAGGTTACAGATTGCTTATATACATGGTACCTCACGATTCTCCTCTTTGAACATCAGCTATCTATTCAAAACATGAATTGCTCACAAAAATAATTTCACCTGTGTGCGTTGCAGGTGTGTGTTCAAGGATGAAATTGAAAGTGAAGATTTATCCAAATTCACTTGGTTTTTTAAAAAAAAAAAAAAGCAAAAAAGAAAACACAACCAGTTGAGGTAACAAACCCGTATACACACACACGCACACACACAAACCAAACACACACCTTTCTCAGCATCTGTAGTTGACACGATGTGGGCGAAACGAGGAGAATCTGCGTCATGTGTCGTTGAGCTGTGGCAGCTCGTCCCTGATTCAAAGAAAAGCAGTCTTTTACCTCGGCAACAAATCGCGTTCCTCGTTTTACAGCTGGTCTGCGTGGTTCTGATTAAATAAAGACCCCTGGTGGTCGCCATTCTTGTACAGGACCCAATGCCGGCCATGTTGATGGAGCCGCCGACTTGACTGAGAAGGGAGGCAAGTTATTCTTTTAGTGTCTTCATATTCAAAATGAATCCAAACTCTAAATGTCAACAGTCAAGACAGAGGGACAAAACTCCACGCTTTAAAAAAGAAAAGAAAAGAAGAAGAAAAAAGAAAAGAGCAGAGCTGCTCCTCTTAGAAAACAAACAAAAATCTAGAGTGATAGCAACACAACTGTGGATGGGCGGATGTGTACATCGATGTGGACTCGGTGGTGGCACCGTTTTAATACAGCGCTGTCATATTTGATCAAAACCTACTGTGGATAACCAGACAGTAAAGATATGAAGGTGAGAGATTGCCACCAGCCGTGAATCATGGCAGGGGCATGCTGGGAAACCAAGTTTGGCTTGTCTGCTTTTCCAGAATCTGTCAAGAAGTCCATGTGGCCAAATTTAATCAGGCCACAGTTCCTAACCACTGTAGCCTGATTACAAACTCATTCACTTCTATCCGAATCCAGCTGAATGATGTGCAGCATGGTCTTTTTTTTTTTTTGATAAATAATTCCTGGTCTTATTGGGTTTGGTGTAGAATACATTACAGTTCAAACGTGAATGCACATCGCCATACGAGTGAGTGTCCACATGTGCGAGTATGTTAGCATGCTTGTGTTGTGTATGTATCCATGTGAGGTTTACTGTGTAGACAGCAGGTTACTGGATTGGTGGTGGGTGGATTTTGTCTGTGCGTATGCAATGTGGATATTGGGGCTGCTGGAGCTGGTGGGGCATGTACACAATCCACAAGTACACATCTCCATCCTCCATCTGTCCATCGATCCGTTTATGTGACCCAGGTGTCCAGCCTCATTCTCTTGACGTTGGTCCCATCCTGTTCTTGAGGCTCTGCTGATGAGGGCCGCAGAAGGACCATGGTGGGCTGCTGGGCTCCGGCGCCGACCTGGTGGTGAAAATCCAGACCCCCGCCTCGACCCTGGGTGCCATCGTCTCGGTCGCTGCCTTCATATGAGCTGCCGTTGCTGCTGAGACTGTCAACAGGTGAGCGGCCTTGGCCTCCCGCTTCAAGACGCAGAGTACTAGGGTAGGCGATGGACACCAGACCTTGTCCCTGGAGTTGACTCTGGCCCACTCCACCTCCAGCAACCCCGCTGGTGGAGCTGGGAGTGCTGCGGTCACGGTTTGGTGAGACGGGTTCGGACTTGATATTGACGTTGGGGTTTGTGTTGACTGTCAACGCGGCACCCTGTACTCCCACTTGCCTGGAGAAATGACGGATAGAAGGAGAAAGAAAAGAACAAGAAGCATTATGTCAGCATGAAATTACGCAACTACACGTATTATCCATCAAAAGTACATGAGAGCAGATCTTCATTAGACAAAGGTTTGCAGGGATGGAACACAGAGCTCAGCCAATACTGTAAAAGAATGGTCGCTTTAAAATGAATGGATCAAAGAATTCAGTAAACATATGCTGGACTTGTAAAATGAAAAGCAGGATTTTCAAGCAAAAGGCACCCAGGTAACACTATACACTCGGGACATGAAGGCTTGTGTGGACTTAAGCACATGGAGAACAAAGACACAAAGAACAGATAAGGCTACATTTAAGGGCACATTAAAGCAAATTCAGTAAGCCATGCAGCTGAAACACTCAGATATTAGGTTGGATCCCATAAGGTCTACAGCTGAACATCATACTGGAGCATCAAAAAAGATACTCAAGTTAACATTCAGTGGATGCAAGTAGCTAAACAAGAACATCTGCATTTTGTATTTGCTCTGTTTATATCTTTGTTTGTGATACAACAGCTATTAAAGGGCCTGAAGAACATTTTTCCTAAAATACATGAAAGAATGACACATCACACATTTTGAAGGGTTTAAATATGATAAGAAGTACGACAGAAATCAAATATTTTTTAGTTTTTGTTTTGTTAAATTTTTTTTTTTTAAAAAAACTGGGAAAATCTGTTGCAGTGTAAAAATATAAAAATGTTGGAATTTGAATGTTTTTACACGTCTATTTTAAAGTTATATTTTGTCTTTGCTGTACTTTGTATTTTATTCTTATGGGAAAATTTTAGGCACACCAAGGAGCAGTGCAAACCAAGACGACAATTAACACACAACCTCTAAGGCTTTTGGTTCAGGGTACTGGTCTTGGTTTTTTTTACACTATACTGTTATACTATCCTGTCATACTTGATCTGGTGAGGTTGCTTTCCTCCATGCCTGGGCCACTTCCACAGCTCTTTAATGAGCAAATCTCCCTTTGTGCTTGTGGATTTTTATCTCCATCTGTCCATTTTTTCTGCCAGGTGCGCCCCCGATTCCTTCTCAGAAAGCATCTAACTTTTAGTTTCCCTTGTACTGAAAAGAGCATCTTTTTCACAAGGTCACAAATTACGCATCCTCCACTCTTCTATTCTGTTTGCGTGTGCGAGGTCACTGCCATGTTCGTTTTTAGCTGCATATGCCACAGAGCATCTTTCCCGGCCGATATGGTCCATGCTATGAGAGCGGCATCGGTATTATATTCAAATAGAAAACTAAAGCAGCAGCGTGATCTTCCTTCCTTAATAGCTTTTTTTCATGCTGTCCATATTTTTTTTTAGCATTAAAACCAAAATTTGTCTTGTGCTGTTCGTTTCCCCTGGAACATTTTAACATTATGTCACATTTGATTTGACTTGATTATTATTAGTTTACAAATCTATCAGCAGTTCTCTTAAACCTCCAAGTAGCGCCAACCAAGAGTGTCACAGTAGAGTGTAAATTATGCTCTATTGTTATATGATAAATTGTATTCACTTGGGGTTTTGTAAGTTAGATCAGCATAAAACGTATTTTCCAGATAAACAGAAAATATTTAGATCCACACGTGAAATGTTCACAGGTTTTCAAATGAACCAATCCACACCTAACTCCTTGACTGCGCTGCCCTAAGATCCTCAGGACAATTATATACCAAAAAGCTTTCGTCTTTGTCACCATCTCTGCTTCTACCTGCCAAAACTCTTTGATCAGCCCCACCTCACCCTCCTCCGCTGGCTGGAGGCTGAGTCGAACCTGTCACTGTGGCTGACACCGACTGTTGACGCTGTGCTGTGGCTCGCTCCTTTTAACGCCGTCGACATGATTTTTTGGATTGGGCTCGTTCTATCTTTCCCTCTCCTCCAGCTTGACATGGTGGATCTGAATTTGAAGCTCCCAATTACTGCGTTTCGCCCCTTGGGTGTGTTCTAATATGTCATATCATGAGCCATCTGCACCACTGTATCTCTAATATTCCCTCAATTACTGGCAGACTGAGAGGGGAATTTAAGATAGGACTCCTCCAGGCGATCTGGGTCCGTGGCACTCAAATGTGCTCGCTGTCTTCCTCTGTCTGACACACACTTAAAGTTGTGCACTCTTCCTGCCTTACATAAAAATGCTCCTTCCCTCCCGTACTGTCTCACAAACACACCTACACACACACACCTACACACACACACACACAAATCCCTTGGTAGGACGATGCTCACGCCGTCTCTCTCATACCCACTTCATCAAACCTGCGTGTCGTGGCTCGGGACGGTACAGGTAGATGGATGACGGTGCCACAGGGGTGCCGTTGCTATGGCGAGTGAAAACGGCTGAGTCAACAGTCCAGTGACAGTGATGAAGGCGAGAGCGGCAGGCTACCCCCCGAGCACTAACAACACGGTGAGCACAGCCAGAAGCAGACACTTGGTTACAGTGCGGTTTGTTAAGCTGCAGCCGTGTTTCCCCAAAATGCTCTGCTTTTCTCAGGATGAGAATCGGGGGGAAAAAAAAGGTTCGTCTTTTCAAGAATTTTAACTCCAATCAGACTGTTGACCTGTGCACTATCAATGAAATACTAGTCTATTAATACTGCTGATTTTTTTTAAGGGGTGTTACAGATCAAGATCAGTTTACTAATCACGAGTAGGCCTACTCATCAGCTCAGCAGGAGCTTTTTCAGGACTGAGAAATTAGCCCTGGTGATGTAACAGTGATGCTATCAGTATTACTTTGGCTTAACAGAAACATTTTACAAACTGAAGTACACAACGAAGGAATAAACAGGTACTGGCGTAGCTGGCCATGACTGCTTCTTGACTATTACTTTTGAGTTCAGCTTTCTAAATGGTGTTCTGCTGAGGATGTCCATTACTCTTAGCTCCTCAGTTCGTAATTGCAAGCAGTTCCTTTGTCAGATTAGTTAAGTTTAGTTGAACCATCTTGGTGGTACATTAATAAAAACAAAGGAAATATAATCTGCTTGACGCTATGATACTTTTGTTTCTTTCTTACTACTAACCACTGCTGTTTTGGAGTTAAAGTACCAAAAGGTTCCTTTGTGAAGCAGATATTTTGGGAAAGCGGCATGCTGCAGCTGTGTGGCTTAAGTGTAAAGAGTACTATACCAGCAGAGGCCCTCCTCCCTACCAAAGAGCAAGTTGGGCTGAGAAGCCAAGCTGTGGAGGGAGGTGGAAAAAGAGACAGGCAAGTTTTAAAAAGCTAAAACAGCAGGGGAACAGTGGGACGGAGACCAGTCATGGTCAATCCAGACACGCTTACGACAAAAAACAAAGGGCCTTAACAGCTGCTTCGGTCAGGCTGGGATGTTGTTAGAGGCAAGAAGTGCTTAAGCCTGTGCTGAGAAAATGTGATCACCATCCACATGCAAAGCACTTTTACAGTCACTTTCAGTAAAACTGAAATGGTTGAGTTTCCTAAAATGGGATCAGGCAAATTGGCAATCTGTAGTACAAACTCTCCTTAAAGGAATATACCACTAATTTTCTGTGTAGTTTGCAGAGACCTTTATACTTAAAGTCATTTTTGAAATTCTATTCTTCTTTAACTTTCTTTTGCCTCTGTGTCAGTTGTGAAATTGTAATAAATTCATACTAATTAGTCTGTTTATTAAAGTTGAGTCCATGTGGTGCCAAAAATCAGCTTGCTGTTGCTAAATAAAGATTTCTGAGCCCCATAAAGTAATTCTGCAATTTAACAATCTAACATGTGACCATCTTATATAAATGTAATGGATAAATAAACAAATTACCCACATGGCACACACTTAATAGAACTAAAATTGTATTTTTATCGTACAGGTAGAGGGGTGTATAATGAATCCCCCGTGGTTTCTAATCTAGGGTTTGAGAAAATACTGATTCCCACCAGGAGGTTTAACTGCTCAGCCTCTGACAGCATGTACGCATCATGCCCTGCCAACAAACAGTGTGTCCTCTTAGCAATTCATCAGAGTGTGCACCGTCTCCAAAAGTTCTTCCTTTTTTTCAGTTTGTGTTTACAAGTTAGGAAACAAGTATAACAAAAAAGAAAAGCTGGGCACAAAAAAAAAGAAGAGTTAGAAACCAATAATTTTTTTAAGCTCCGTACTGATTGATTAGTAGCTATGTACATTAAAACATCACTTGTGTACTAGCAAACAGCCACCCCTGAAAGTGGGTCTGTTTGTTTCCTGTGAATGTCCCAAACGGAGGCTGTGTCTGCTGATAACACATCGACTCAGTGAGGAAACAAACCATTGCGACGTGTCCTGCAAAACCAGTATGCAGAGACCACTTCTCCATAAACACCCAGACTAGCTGAATCCAAGGCTGCGCAGCGAGGGGATTTAGGGGCAGCCGTGACATTAACATTTAGATTAGGAAGTCAGGGCGAAGATGAGAGTCAACAGGTGTACACCAAATTAACTGAGCCTGACCAGGAAAGCAGGAAATAAGCAGAATGACAGAACTAGTGGAAGAAGGGATGATTAAAACGAGGGAAATGGAGAGAGTAAGTTGACAGGAATCATTTCCTCGTGAAGCCTGTGGTGAGGGAAAGTGTGGCCGACAGCGAAGGCGAGGCTCGCAGCCAAGCTGTCAATCACCATTTGATTGGAGGAGCTTGTTTGCTCGCTGTGAGGCTGCGGTGTGATGAAATCAGAAACAAAGCAGAGCGGTCTGGACTGCAGAAGAGCCCACGTCTGCTCATGCTGTCCTTAGGAAGGCACGATTTTCCGTTTTGCCGAGAGAACAGTTTGGCAAGCTGGGAAAGCATCCCACATTTTCTGTGGTGCTTGCTTGTTTTCAGTGGCAATGATTCTGTTATTCTGATCCCACACACAACACTGTAAATCCGCCTGGTGTCAATTCCAGTGTCACACCTGAGGTTGCTGAAACTCTGCCACAGTCAGCATCTGGGCGGCATGATTATGCAGAAAATGGGAGACCCTGCTTATTTAGTAAAATCATGACTATTTTTTGTATTTTGAGGAATGTCTTGGTTATTTTATTATGAAAGAAATCCTTTGTTAGAGTAGCTCAAAAAGTGATGAAACACAGCGATCAAACAATTAGGGAATAGAGCAAAGCAAAAACGCCAACTTTCAGCGGTTCCATGTAAAACTTCCTGCTCCTTCTGTTTCTTTTCTTTTTGCAAATACTTGAACATACTGATCACTTTGAGCTTGTATCTTCCTACAAAATTCCTGAAAATCATTAGTATGTTAAGAATATTTTTGATATGAAAAATGCTCCATATTGCTGTCGGTATAAGAAACAGTTGTTGTATTATTACAGCCAACGCTCAAGGAAATCACTGCTGGCTGCTTTTTCAGGATCTCCGAGTGGTTCAATTGATTTGTTTGCAGAAGGATTTCATACAATCTGGACTGCCATTTGTTAACATTTACAAGGCGATATGAAGAGTTCTGCTGCATATGAGCTGGTGGTGACTGTTAACTATATGCTGCTTTTTCAAAGATGCTCAACCCCCTGGAGTCACAGCTGTTGTATACACTAACAAACAACCCATTATCATATTTTCCTGGATGATTTTCAGCTTGTCAGACAGAGGAACAAATAACAATCTCCTTCCTGACAGCTAGAATTATTCTAAGTGTCTTTAAAAAAAACAAAACAAAAAAAAACAACAAAAAACACATTCCTCTTATTTGTTTTATTTTTAATCTGTTTTGTGATCAAGATTCGAAGCCGCTGTTCAATTGAGATACGTACATTTTGAACAAGAGGATAGCAGCACTTTAATGCCCTTGTCTGTGTGTATACGAGTATTTTACAGGGACTTAAATATCAACTGGAAATAAACACGTTTTTTTTGTTTGTTTTTTTAAAGAAATAGCTGCACTTGACAGTGATTCTATACTGTCGAGCTCTAAATTATTCTTTTAGTCCCACTAGTGTAGGAAATTCAGACCAACGTGTACCTGAGCAGTTCAATCTTCTGTCTGACTGTCAGCTGAGAGTGACAGCTAAATGGCTGAAAAGTAAAATTGTAATGCACTAACAATGCTGGTGGCGCAGAGCTGTGCGCTGGTTTTGT